TTTTTTTTTTTTTTTGGGAAGTTTAAAAACTAATCTCCAGGACCAGGACTCCGCTTCCAGCCTCTGGAGCTCTGCCTAGGCGAAGAAGGTAGGGGAGTCACTGCCGGCCAAGAGAAAGAGGAGTTGGGGATGGAGAGGATGGTGGACCAGAGGGAAAGTTGATTTGGGATGGAGTCGGGGAAGCCAACCAACTGACAGTTACATTATTGCTAAAGGAGCGGAAACACGAGAGTGGAGAGCTGAGCAGATAGTGGGGATGGAAGCTTCAGGGCGCAGTTGGGAGGCCCTAACCCGAACACCAGGGCTTCCAAGCCAAATGCCCCCAGAACAAAGCTGTCTTGTCTGAGTTAGGGGAAGCAATTCTGGGGGCCCCCTTGCTGTGGAGGGCTGTTTTCAGGCTTGGGTAGAGAAGGCCTGAGCTAAGAAGCCAGCCTAGCTTGTGGTTGCCCGGTGACAGAAACAGTAGTGTTACAGGAAGCTCCGACAACTCCACACCAAACCCTGCCCAGCTTGAACCTAACTCTCCTGGAGCGCCCGCCGGACCCTGCAGGGGATTTGTGGACCCATGTGCTAGGGAGGGTGGCTGAAGGTTCTCCTACTCTTGTTTAGCCTCAGCCGTTCCTGCTTGGGCATCTGCTTCCTTAGAAAACTGCTAATGGTCCCCTCATTCATAGTTCTGAGATCTCCGAGTCCCTTCTCCCAGGCTCCCATTGCCTGTACTGCTGTGGGAGTCAGCCTGCTGCCTGGGTCATCCTGTCATTTCTCCTATGCCTGCACCATGGCTTTTAGTCCCTCTCCTCATGGTTTGTGCCTCTCTGTATCACTCTCCAATACTATGTGTTTTGGTTTCTGTCCTGTCTATCCATATTCAGTGTGTCTCTCAGCCGGTGTCTTTCTGTTTTTTTCCCTTCATTCCCACACTCTCCCTTCCTCTCACATCCTGTCTGTCTGGGTCATCCTCTCAGTCTGTGTGTTTCTTCTCCATCTCCCTGTTTGTCTGGACCATCATCACACTTGTGGCCTGTAACCCCACACCCACCCCATGTAACGGGAGCAAATGGAGATGAAGGTAATGATGATGATGATGATGATGATGATGATGGCCAAACTAGGGAGGAACACTGTGGGACATAACAACGTCCAACAGTTGTATTATTTGCAAAGGGAGAGGAGTCTCTCTCCCTCAACCAATCTAGGTCTCTAAGGCTGTGCCTGTTTTCTCTAAGTTCCTACCCTCATTTAGTGTGTGTCTCCCTCTCTGTCCCTCAGTGCCCACCCCCTCGGGTCCTGCCTGCCATGAGACCTGTCAGTGTGTGGTATTACTGCTCATGGGGACTGCTGCTGCTATGCAGCTCCAGCGTGGGGTCTCCATCCCCTTCCATTGACCCAGAGAAGAAGGTGGGAAGCCAGGGGCTGAGGTTCCGGCTGGCAGGCTTTCCTAGAAAGCCCTATGAGGGCCGTGTGGAAATACAACGTGCCGGTGAGTGGGGCACCATCTGTGACGACGACTTCACGCTACAGGCTGCCCATGTCCTCTGCCGGGAGCTGGGCTTCACAGAAGCCACAGGTTGGACCCATAGTGCCAAATATGGCCCAGGAACAGGTAAGCAATGCTCTGGGCTAGGCCAGATTGTTACCTAAGCGCAGTTCAAGTATAGAGAGAAGAACACCATGATGGCACAGCCACAGGGACCCGGAACACCAAGTATGGATAGAATTAAGTAAATGCACAGATAATAAACCATCTAACATAGTAATTTCCATATGACCTGAAGCTAGCCCATGCTTCCCATGAGCCTCCAATGTTTCATGTGCCCAAAGACGAGGGGATTAGTAAGTCCTCCTCTGCAAAGTACGATTCTGCAGGGCCATGCACAGGGACAGCCCAGTGCAGGTGAACCCTGAATGATGCAAGTGCAGTTAGCCTGATGAGAATGCGTGAGAGCAGGTGAATGGTGTCTGCTTGTCCCATAGCTAGAAGGGGTCGTAAAATCAGTTGATAAAATCAGGATCCAGCCTAGAGCTACAACCAGCAAGCTGGAACTCATGTGACTCCAGTGGGAGTGTGAGGGTTAAGGCACAATCCTCTGAGGCTGGAAGTGCTCAGTCCATGTGGACCAGAGTGGGATTGATCAGCAGATATGTTAGATCTGTGGCCATCCTGCCGGTGTGCTGATCCCCTGTTCTCACTAGCTCTACCACTTCTGAGATCAGCGTCACTTGTAGACGCCACACTTTGAGAGGGACAGTCGAAAGTGGAAATGCTAGACTAAGGATGTAGCTCAGAGGTAGAGTGCTTGCCCTGCTCAGTCTTCCAGAGAGAAGGAGGGAGGAAGGTAAAACCACTTTCAGATGCCACGTTTCAGGAGGAATGGGAAAAAAAAAAAAAAAAAAGGTCTGGCACAGAAACAAACAAACAAGCCTCAGTTAGCAATTATATGATGGCTGTGTTCAAATTCAGGAAGGACAGTCATGGTTTTCTGGGTGACATCAAAGGACTGAATCAGACCTGGTTGGGAAAGTTGTGAAGACCCACAAGGACTTTCTGACGGTTGTGTGGCCTCGTGGGGCAGAAAGGTTAGCTCTGTTACACTAGGTGAGGTGCCCTGAACACTGCCACACGTATCTTTGAAGAGGTCCCTCCCAGTTCTGAGTGGTCAGTGATACTCAATATGATCTAGAAAGTAAAAATAAGGTCTCTGTGGCAGCAGGCGACATAGGCATACAGAAAATGCCACAGGGAAGAATGTAAGAGTGAAGTAAAAGAATCTAAGATTCCCAAGCCTTGGTGAGAAGCCAAACTCTTAGGTGAGTTACATCATTTTTGGAGCCCCAGTCTATTTACATCAAGTAGCCTTCTGGCAGCTCTAGTCTAAGAATGGTTAGGTATGAGCATACTATGACAGAGCATTTGGCACATATTAGGTACTTATTTATAGCTATTATTGAATGAATCCTTATTGATGAGAATTTAAATGTCAATTCCTGGTTATTCTTGTTTTTAATTCACCCTGATCAGTTTTTCAGTGTCCCAGATCACCACCAACCTTGTGTCAACCTTATACCCTCTTTCCTCTTCACCCCAGAATCCCTTGCCCCTTCTCCATCTTTTTCTCATCAAAAAGGGGGGGTTATCCTCAAGGCCACACGAGGCCACCATGCTCCCTCTCCAACCCCACCGCTCCCTCTTCCTTCTTCCTCAAACACATCTCTGCCTTCTCATCTCCCTTTCCACAGGCCGGATCTGGTTGGACAATCTGAGCTGCAGTGGGACTGAGGGGAGTGTGACAGAATGTGCCTCCCGGGGCTGGGGAAACAGTGACTGTACCCATGACGAGGATGCTGGGGTCATCTGCAAGGACCAGCGCCTTCCTGGCTTCTCAGACTCCAACGTCATTGAGGTCTGCAGCACACACACACACACACCAAAAAGGCTTTGGAGTAGCCATATGTGGGTAGAAGAGATATTATAAGGGGATCCCATAAACCTTTATGGGATAATGTGGATTTCTGGCCAGAAACTTGGAAGGTAGGGACAAATGGGGTGTTGCACTACAAAATCCAATTTAAAACAAAATGTATAAGGGTGTTTTCCTGTAGTGTGTGTCGGTGCACCCTGTGCGTACCTAGTGCAGGCAGAGACCTGAAAAGTCCACTGGATCCCATGGAACTAGAATTACAGGTGGCTGTGAACTGCCGTGGGGTCCTGAGAATTGAACCCCTCGTCCTCTGGAAGAGCTCTAGCCCCCAAATCCAATTCACACTCAAGTTACTAAACCTGGTATGAGCTTCTCCAGTTTCATTCCTGGTCACCTGTCCTCCTCCTCCGACGTTTCTGCTCTCATTCAATGTCTTTCTTACTTTCTTCTTTTCCTAAGACACTCCCATTGTGAAGCTGGCCTCCTGCTACAAGCAGACTTCCCTTTCTCAGTGCCTTTAGGCCCTGTTACCGTTTCTCGGGAATGGCACACTAGGCCACTATCACACATCCCATGTGCCTGTCTGGGCACATCCCCCAGATAGGCAGCTGGCCTGGCATCGTCCTTAGCCTCGTCTCAGTGATCCTCCCATTGGGTTTTGCAGCAGACACAGTCGGGGCTCCTTCAGGGTGGCACAGCATTGCTCCTGGGATTCTTCCCCCTTCCTCTGGTCCCGTCCCATCTCAGGTGGACCATCACCTGCAAGTGGAAGAGGTGCGACTCCGACCCGCTGTGGAGTGGGGCCGGCGGCCCCTGCCTGTGACTGAGGGCCTGGTTGAAGTCAGGCTTCCAGATGGTTGGTCGCAAGTGTGTGACAAAGGCTGGAGTGCCCACAACAGCCATGTGGTCTGCGGTATGCTGGGCTTCCCTGGAGAAAAGAGAGTCAACATGGCCTTCTACAGGTGCGGAGCTCAGGGGTGTTTGCAGACTCTGGAGAGGATGCCCGTATCTAAGGGAGGGAACACAGGGGAACTGCTGTAACACAGGAGGCTGGGAAACATCGGAGGCTCTCCTACCCAGGGTAGGAAACGGGCTGATAGGCAAGCAGCAGAATGAGAGTGCGTGCCGGTGACGTCATCGGTCGGCAGGCAGATTTCTGGAGCCTGGGCCCTGGGGCCTCCCGAGTTCAGAGTTTACAGAGGGTGCGGCAGGCCCCTCCGCCTGTTGGAGGCGGTGCCTGCAGTGCCTTCGTGAGACTGCGCCTGGGGCCTCAGAAACTCTGACTGGCCAGCGCCAAGTCATCCACCCTAGTGAACGGTTCTGTGCAACGGGCGGGCGGCTTCCTTCCTGAAGCATCTCATTTAGTAGTTTGAATAAATAGCCCATGCTAGCCAGGCAGATACTTGGAGATCTGTCCAGTGTCAATCTGCAACCTGTTTGGCAGGTCCAAATGATCGCTTTCTTCAGCTCTTACTTATTTCACTTGTCGACAGGCTACATGACTTTCCATTGAGCACACTGCATAAGATGTGATCCAATGGGGCTAGGTATTGTAGGAGTGCCGGTCTTTGAAGAACATTGGCATTTTCCTCGCGTCGAGGCGTTTGAGGTCTTATCTCTAATATGGATATAGCTGCCTTTTGAATCTGAATATATGCTGGGCAGAACACGGCCATAATGTAACCAATATTTCATTCTCTCATCTATGATGAAATTATGGTAGATTTTTGTAGTTTTTGCTAAAAATCCAGATAAGCTGTGCTCACAGCAGTCTCCAGCCTCCAAGTTTAGTAACCCTCCATCAAAAGCTATCATAGTGGTTTTGAGTGCAATTTTATTATTTCAGTAATTTTAGATCTCTAAGTTTTGCCATGTTTCTTTAAATGCTCACAAACTTTCTGTTTAGCAACTTACTCTTGAATAGCATTTATCTGCAGAGTCAGAAAACTTTCTCTTTCTTTTTTTTCTGAAGTCAATACTGTCTCTAATATCCATTCATTTCCATATGTGCTGGAATTTTCTTTGTTGTGGTGCCCAAACTCGTGTGAAAGTTCTTTCGGCCCTAAGGGGATACAGTTGAGCTGTCCTACAGTTGAGCTATCGTCTGTTGTGTGCTCTACCTTTAACGTAAGCAGGCTCTGTCTTCCAGAATTCAAACACCAGGTTCTAAAACAGTTGTAGGGTTTAAGGCTTTTTTGAAGAGAAGAGGATGGAGGGAGCCAAGGCCTAGGGAGTCACTCATCCAATGTCCCACCCTGTGCTGGCTTCTATTGTAGACTTTGGAGCTTCCACAGTGAACACAAACATTCTTCCTCTGGGGACCAGGGGACAACCAGAAAATGAGTGAATTAATAAAACAGAAGGATGGTAGTGCTCCAGTGGCCTCTATCAGAATGAGGTTCATGGCCTCTTACTCAAAGATTGAAAGAGCACACGCAAACAGCAAAGCAGGAAGGGATTTTCCTCAAAGGTAATATGCAACAGATAGGCTACAGGAGAGAGAGCAGCAGCAGCCACCTGAGCCACAGCGCTTGAGGACACCTGGCCACTGCCCAGGGCTTCCTTCCATGGGTCAGGAAGAAGGAGCTGGTTGTTAAGGGATGAACCATGGGCGGTTTCTTCTTTTGACTGGCAGGCTTGGGTTATAGAAGCCTTTGTTTACTGCTCATGTCTTCCCAGGATGCATCTGATTTTAATCATATGTATACCCAGTCATGCGTAAGCATATGCTGGTATACTGGAGCCTTTACCTAAAAGTATATTCAGAGAATACAACTTACCTCCCTGCACTGGCTTCCAGAACCTGCCTAAGCTGAATAGTTCTCTGCCCTAGTTCCTGAATATATTCCAGGATGTATTTGCTCCAAAAAGGGAATTACTAAGGGTTGCTAGGTCAGCTGTATGCCAGAGTGACCCAATTGCTTTGTTTAGAGACCGGTGTGCACGCAGCAAGATGCAAGTGGGGGTTCCAGAGTACCACATGCTCCGTTGAGAAAGGGGGTGTTTATGTGTATGTAGCTCAAGCCAACTGAGTACCAGCTTGCTAAGTTATCCCTATGCTTGCCTGTCTCAGTGGTGCGCACCTGTCATTTTTGTTTTTGTTTGAGACCATGTCTCATGTATCTCTGGCTGGCCCTGAACTCCTGATCCTTCTGCAGCGATTAAGTACTGGGGTTATGGGCCTGTATCACCATGCTCAGCTGATGTATGGCATTTAACACATTTGTAATCATTACTTTGACTTTGAATTGCTTTATGTTATCTATTATTATGTATGTATGAGTGAGTTCCGTGTGTGTGAGTGTGTGTGTGTGTGTGTGTGTGTGTGTGTGTGTGTGTGTGTGTGTGTGTGTGTGTGTGTGTGTGTGTGTGTATCTGCCAGAGGTCAACTTAAGTTTTTTTTTATTATTATTAAATTGCAAGTGTGCACTACCCTGCCCAGTTTTAATTTTTAAACTTGTTTTTGGTGTTCTAGAATATGCGAAAGCTTTAGAATTTTAAAAGAGGGAAAAATGAATAGCTATCAGAACTCTTTGCTGCTCTTGTGCAGGTGATGAAACTGAGGCTCTAAGAGCTTCAGTGTTGTGTAAGAAGATACTTCTTTACTAAAGACAGTCTCCCTGCGTAGCAGCTTGAACTAGTGATCCCTCTGCTTCAGCTTTGAGTGTTGGGATTGCAGGCTTTTCCCACTGTGCCTGATTTAAGAGGCCACTCTTTCATTCATGTAACTATGGTACATACTCACTGACCTCTGTGCAAGGTGTGGAGAGTATAAAGATGGCAAATGATGAGGGAGGTAGACAGGCACCAGATCATAGATCCATAGGCCATGCTCGACCTTCCTAATAAAAGTAATGGGGAAAAGACAGGTGGTCGGTTGTTAGCAGGAGTATCAGGGTCTCCACATAGCCCTAACTGTCCTGAAACTCACTCTAGACCAGGGTGGCCTCAACTCACAGAGATCCACCTGCCTTTGCCTCCCAGGGGCTGGGATTAAAGGTGCTACCACATCAAGTGATAGTAAAATGTCTCAATGAAGCTATGCATGGTGGTATGCACCCAGAAGCCCAGCAGCCTGGAGCCTAAGGTAGGAGGATCCGGAATTCTAGGCCAACTTGGAGACCCTGTCCTCAAAAAAGAGGGAAAAGGTGTTTTAATGAAGAGGTCTGTGAGGTGACATGATCAGGTTGTGGCTCTATTTTTTCAGATGAGTTTCATAATAAAATAATTATGGGCTGGAGAGATGACTCAGAGTCTAAAAGTACTTGCTGTTCTTTCAGAGGATTTGAGTTAGTTCACAAACTCTTATAACTCCAATTCCAGGAAACCCAATGTCTTCCTCTGGCTTCCATGGGTCCCCGCACACATATACACATCTACCCACACATAGACACACACACATATACACATCTACGCACACATAGGCACACACACACATACACACATACACACATGCCCACACATAGACACACACACATACACACATCTACCCACACATAGACACTCACACACATACACACATACACACATGCCCACACATAGATACACACACATATACACATCTACCCACACATAGACACACACACATATACACATCTACGCACACATAGGCACACACACACATACACACATACACACATGCCCACACATAGAGACACACATGTAAGTAAATGTAAACCTTTAAATAATTACTTTAATAAAAACAAGTACCTTTTAAAACAATTAGAAGCTGGATATGTAGCACGTGCCTTCAAAGTCATCCTTGGCTACTTGTTGAATTTGAGGCCTGCCTTGGCTACTTAGTGAGACCCATCTCAAAAAAGTAAAAGAGCTGGAGAAATTGCTCAGCAGTTAAGAGCACCAGCTGCTTTTCCAGACCACACAAGTCCCAGCACCTACAAAGTGGTTCACTGCCAACTGGAACTCCAGTTCTAGAGCCCTTTGTGCCCTCTTCTGATCTCTGCAGTCAGCAGCCATGCACATGGTACACAGACATACATGCATGCAAAACACCCATACACATGAAGCCACATTCACAAAAAATTAAAACAAAAAAGTCATGCCTGCTGACAGCACATGTTTGTAATCACAACACCTGGGAGGCTCAGACGAGAGGATTACAAGTTCAAGGCCAGCCTGGACGACATTCAGGGGAAGAAAAGTAAATAAATAAAAATAATATCCCAGTGCACCTTCACACAATATACTGTGTCAAAATATGTAAGTACTAGCCGGGTGGTGGTAGCACAGGCCTTTAATCCCAGCACTTGGGAGGCAGAGGCAGGCAGACTTCTGTGAGTTCAAGACCAGCCTGGTCTACAAGAGCTAGTTCCAGGACAGCCTCCAAAGCCACAGAGAAACTCTGTCTTGGAAAAACAAAACAAAACAAAATATGTGAGTACTCAAGAGAAATGGCAGGGCAGGAACATGGACAAAGAAAAGATAACCAAGGACACAACAGGGAAAACCAAGAACCTCTTTTTAAAAACAGATGAGGTCTGCACTCACCAGGCAGTGGTTCCATCCAGTAATCCCGGTGTGTGTGACCCAGAGGCAGGGGAATCAGCACTGGTTCAAGTTATAGGCCATGCTATACATCAAGACCCTATCTCAATCCTGCACCCCACCTTACTGCATGACCCCCACTGCCACAGCCAAAAAGACATACATAGTATTGGGCAGGACAAAAGTGACCATAATTAAAGTCTTTAAAATTAAAGAGTCAATGAGGAGAAATTGAATTAAGGAAACCTGCTGGAGAAGGAAGTAAGTCAATTTTTGAGGCCAATTTAAAAGATTGACTTCCCTGCAAACATGTTTAGAAGATGAGCTCAGCTTGTGAATGACCAGGCAGATGGGATTGGAACTAGAACAGGAAGAAGACTCACAGCCAAACCAAGCTAATATCCTCAAATATGTAGTCCTCCATCCCTGGTCCAGCAGTTAGGCCTAGACAGTGCTGGGGCTTCCTTGAGAGACCATCCAAGAATCACACATACACATATACACAAACACACACACACACACACACACACACACACACACACACAGAGGAGTAAAAGAGGTGTGGTCAGCCTCCCTGGGCCTGACCCAGGCCAGTTCTCTGTCCTCCAAATCCCAACGCTCCCCTCTGTAGTCAGACTTTCCTTTTGGGCCACCAGCTCACAAATAATGACACATAGGCTTGTTATTAATTATTAAAGTTTTGCCTTAGCTTAGGCTTTTCGCCAACTAGCTCTTATAACTTAAATTAACCTGTTTCTGCTAGTCTACATTCTGCCATGTGATTTGGATATACATTTGCCTCTGTACTGTATATCCAACTTCTGCTGTCTCACATTTGTCTAGATTCATCTCTTTGCCTGGAAGTCCTGCCTATTCTCTCCTGCCTAGCTATTGGCCATTCAGCTCTTTATTAAACCAATCACAGTAACGTATCTTCACACAGTGTAAACAAATATTCCATAACACCCCTCTTCTGGCCTCCACTGAGGTTTTCCACCATCCTCCAGACCCAGAAGCTCCATACCTCATCGGTCTTTTTTTTTTTTTTCCAAGACAAGGTTTCTCTGTGTAACAGCTCTGACTGTCCTGGGACTCAATTTATAGACCAGACCAGGCAGGCCTCAACTCAGAGATAGGCCTGCCTCTACCTCCCAAATGCTGGGGTTAAAGGTGTGCACCACCACTGCCCAGCCCAGCTCATCTGTCTTGATCTAATTTCTAAAGGTCTTGGTACTGGAACACTGTTCTGAGTCCTTGGTTTTCACTGAGGCTCACACACCTGTTGGTGTGCTAAGACAGCCTACAGGACCTTGGAAGCAGCTGATGACATCACACATCACACTACTCTTGGAAGCTCACTGTTAGGGAAGGAATCTTGCTCCTGGTTCTGGCTGCACTGGCCTTTTCCACTTGGTTCTACACTAACCCTGACTTGATCTTGTCTTATCCTCACAGAAAGTTGAGGAAGCGAGCGGCCAAAGCCTCGGCCCGACGCCCCAAACCCCTTGGAAGGTAAAGGGGCAAGAGCCCCGGGACCTCCTGCCAGCCCCTGAGGCCTCAGGAGGTGGATGGATGGATGGAAACCTATCCATGTCCATCCCAGAACCCAATCCCATGGATTAGGGATGTATTGAATAATGGCTGCTCCCAGGGGGTGGGGAGGGAGGCAAGCATGGGAATGGGTGAGCTTTGATCTTAGGGAATGGAAGGAGGAAGTTATGTAGGAACAGCTGAGGAGATGGTCTTTCTACTTCTCCCAAAAGGCTTCCCTCGCAGCCTCAGCCCCTGCACCCTTCCTCCTCCCCACCCACCCCACGGCCAACTCAACCCCCTTAGTCCAAGATCATTTCCTCTCTCCTCTCCCTTGACCTTCAGCTGACCTCCTTTCCTCTCCCTCACCTGCATTTCCATAACTAGATTTGCCTTCAGTGGCACTGATTCCAGTGAGCACTGGGAGTTGCTAAGTGTCTGCCCTCCCGTGGCATTCAGCAATCACTAAGCGCATGGAAATCAGTTTCCCTCCCCACATGGGAGCAAAAGGTTCTTCTAGAAGCAGAACGCTTCCCTTCTCCTGAGCTACATCCTCAACCACTGCCTCTACCAATATCTTTCTCCTTTTTGCAGAAAAATCAACAAGTCTAAAGTCAAACACAAGCCCCGAGTGGGCAGGGGGCCAAGCAAGAGGTAAATGAGTTTGGGGTTGAAAGCAGAGAGGAAGCAGGGTGGGTAGGGCAGGGCTGTGACCCAGAAAGGGTCCAAGACAGGCCTGTTGGACTGATAGAACTAAAGAGGGGTGGAGTAGCAGCTGTGACAGTCACCTTCCAGATCCTTCTAGAAATGTGAAGTGAGTCAAGTCTCTGTGATGTGAGTCTCGGGGCACTGTGTTAGTCAAAGGACTTTTTGGTTCTTGCCCTGTGTGCTTGTTTTCCTTCTGTGAGTTGCAGTAGCACTTCTGTCCCATGCTGGCCTCTCCCCCACAAGATTGCAGTGTGGCCAAGGGATCTGTGTTCTCATCCTGCTTCATTTGATGAATGCTTCGTATTTCCATCTTTTTTTTTTTAAGTAAATATTGCCAGGAGCTGGAGAGATGGCTCAATGGGTAAGAGTGTATGAACACTGTTCTTCCAGGGGACCTGAATTCAATTCCCAATACCTACGTTTAATTTCAGCTCCTAAAAATCAGATGCTGATGGCCTCTTCTTCTGGCTTCCTCAGGCACCTACAGTCATGTGTACAAACCCACACTGACACAGTTTACCTGGTGTGGAGGGCAGCCTATGAAACCTTTCCAGGGATGGCTTTAGAATCACAGCCCCCACCTGTTAATAGTTAGGCATCCAGTTTCCTATTTTCTTCATGGGCTCCCTCAGAATTCAAGGGAGTAGGAGACTTCCAACCCTTCCATCCAACTTGTCTCTAAAAGGCATACAGCACCATATCTCCCTGATAATTTGGGACTGAGGACCGGAGAAGGCATCCCTCTCATTGTCCCCTCCTCTCCTCAGCAAGTTCCAGTGTCCCCGTACCCATCCCCCGTGGTATGCCTCACTAATGGGCTTCTGTCCCTGGTAGCTGTCAAAGAGCTCAGAACTTGATGAGTCTAAATTCTTGCAACCCTCTTAGGCTTGAGTCATCTTTGCCCAACTATCCTTTAGTTCCTTCCCTGACCGCCACATTAAAGCGTGCACTTTATAACCACTTTTTATTGGTTATAGGGAGTGGGTGAGCGAGAGTTCATAAGTTAGATGGCATTTCCTGTGATGGCCTGAGTTCGATTTTCAGCCAAACAGGACACTGAGAGTACCTGATCGCTCTGACTTTCAGGATCCGTTTATCCTGAGCTTCCAAAGGTATTCTGTAAAGTGTCCTGTTTCCTTTGTCTGTTTTGTGTGTATTGTTTGTTTTCCAAGACATGGTTTCTCTGTGTATCCCTGGCTGTTCTAGAAATCCCTTTGTAGACCAGACTGGCTTCAAACTCAGAGATCCTCTGCCTCCTGAGTACTGGGATCAAAGGCATGCACCACCACTGCCCAAACCTTTGCCTCTTTTGTTTACAAATGTCCTTCCCTCTTGTCTTCCTAGCCAATGGCTGTAAATTGTCATATTCCCTCTTTTCTCTAATGTCAGGGATAGGGCACCTGACTGCAATAATTCACAACAGTCAACCTCATGGGCTCACTGCACCAATACCAGGCCTCTGCTTACCCTTTTTGCCTGAGCTCCATTCAGCCTTTCTGGGGAGACAGACTTCCCTCCAATCACCTAGCTGCAAGCTCTCATTCTTCTGGTGTCTATAAGACCCCCTCTTCTCTCAGGCATCAGTACAGTGGTTCCAAGTGTTAACATCTCTATTTTTGTCCTATTTTCCTGCTCAAAATGGCTGTGCAACAATGCTCCGTTGAAACTGCACAAGCATGGACTACCTCATTGAAGGCATCTACAGCTCAACTCAGGTCTTGGGTCATGTTTGCCTTTGGGATGTCCATAGCCACCTTTGCTCTTTGGCCATGTAGTCCCTCCAGCTTTTGTCTGTCTTGTGTTTGTCTTTGTTCCAGAGAGTCATCACTAGTCCTTCACACTGCCATCTTCTAGCCTATTCTTGCCATAGCTGTCTGTCATATTATGACAGGCTCCCCTGAGGAGCCATTTAGATGAAGACTTCCTCAGTACTCTGCATCCTGGCTCACTGTTCAGTCACAGCATAACAGAAAGGTCTGCACACCGGCTATTGGAGCCTAAATTAGTTTGTGTCTGCCACTCCTTCTGAGTCATCTCTTCTGGCTTCCCATTCAATTTGCATGGCCACCTTGGCTTCAGCCTTAGCCTCCCTTTGGGTCATTGAGAACAACATTGCAGCTGGGTGGTGGTGGCATACACCTTGAATCCCAGCACTCGGGAGGCAGAGGCAGGTGGATCTCTGGAGTTTGAGGCCAGCCTGGTCTACAGAGTGAGTTCCAGGACAGCCAGGGCTACACAGAGAAACCCTGTCTCAAAAAACAAAAACAAAAAAAGAGCAAGGTTGCTGTCAAACAAAGGTTCCCCTAGTGTTCTGTTGCAGAAAGTCCCCCCAAAGACTCTGACTGGGCAGCCAAGGCTCTTTCAGACTATACATCATCTCTCTCTATACTAGCAATGCTGTCTCTCGAAAGAAGGACACAGAAGGGGGATAAGAGGTCATGAGTGGGTGGGGGTGGGGTGGGATGGGGTGGGATGGGGTGGCAGGTGAGGTGGCAAATGGCTGTGGGGCAGGGAGGCAAGAACACAGCCTCACCCTACTGTACCTCACTCATCTCCCCACAGGATGCTGGCCCAGAAGAAGCAGCACTCCTTCGGTCTGCATGGGGTAGCGTGTGTGGGCACAGAAGCCCACCTCTCCCTTTGTTCTCTGGAGTTCTATCGGGCCAATGACACCAGCAGGTGCTCTGGGGGAAGCCCTGCAGTGGTGAGCTGTGTGCCCGGCCCTCTTTACTCCACCTCAACTGGGCAGAAGAAGCACCAACAGCCAAAGCCTCAGGGGGAGGTACATAAGTAATACAATGCATGTCTTCATTCTGTAGGACTGGGGATCAAACCTCAGGCTTCACACATGCTAGGCAAACCCCCAGCCCGACAGCGAATGTGACCTTTGCCCACCCAGTGTGGGAACTCCCTAGCCTGTCCTCTACTCACTAAGCACAGCTCTGACCTTTGAAAACAGGGAACCTTCCAGTGGCTCTGCCACAGACCTGATGACATCCACTCTGTCATAAAAAGCTCATTCAGCTCCCTGGGGTCCATAGCCCTCCCCAGACCAATGTTTCTATTCACCTCTTTGGGCATGTCTGTCTTCTATAGGCTCGTGTGCGTCTAAAGGGTGGTGCCCACCCTGGAGAGGGCCGAGTGGAAGTCCTGAAGGCTGGCACGTGGGGAACAGTCTGTGACCGAAAGTGGGACCTGCAGGCAGCCAGCGTGGTGTGTCGAGAGCTGGGCTTTGGCACTGCTCGAGAGGCCCTGAGTGGTGCTCGCATGGGACAGGGTGAGGGGAAAGGGTGTTCACACTACCAGGGGTACATTCCTTGGGGAGGAACGGAGCTCTCTGGACAATGGAGGTCCAGTTACAACCTCCTCTGCCTTGACGTCTGACTCTAGGCATGGGTGCTATCCACTTGAGTGAAGTTCGGTGCTCTGGCCAGGAACCCTCCCTCTGGAAGTGTCCCTCCAAGAACATCACAGCTGAGGACTGTTCCCATAACCAGGATGCCGGTGTACGATGCAACCTCCCCTATACTGGAGTGGAGACTAAGGTCAGTTATGCGGTCTAGTTTGGGTCTTTCTACCCAGACCTAGCCTCCAAAACACAGCCTGACAGCATCCAGCCCTTCACCCCAGGCCCAGACACCCACAGCTCCCACATGCCCCGGCTGTTTGCTTGTCCTTCCTGTCTCTGCTCCCTGTTGTACACTGCCATCCCCGGAGCCTCCCCTGCACTCTCACTCTGTACCTCTACAGATCCGACTGAGTGGGGGCCGAAGCCGTTATGAGGGTCGAGTCGAGGTGCAAATAGGGGTACCGGGGCATCTTCGCTGGGGCCTCATCTGTGGGGATGACTGGGGAACACTGGAGGCCATGGTGGCCTGTAGGCAACTTGGTCTGGGCTACGCCAACCATGGCCTGCAGGTAAGTGGGGAGAAGAGGGAAACCAAAGCTATTGTCACCAAAGTCTGTGCTTTGGGCAAAGGACTGTGGAAACCAGTTCCCTTGGCCCTGGGAACTGGAACCTATGCCCTCACCAAAACACCTACCTACATCCCCCAGGAGACCTGGTACTGGGACTCAGGGAATGTAACTGAGGTGGTGATGAGTGGCGTGCGTTGCACAGGGTCTGAGCTGTCCCTGAACCAATGTGCCCATCATAGCACCCCCATCACCTGCAAGAGGACAGGAACCCGCTTCACCGCAGGAGTCATCTGTTCTGAGAGTGAGTGACGGGGAGTGGGGTAGTAGAAGCTAGGGGAGCCAGGCTCTGGACCACCCCTCATTTGGAGGGAGACATGCTGTGATCTGGAGGGGCACTCCTTCGCCATGAGAACCCAGAGTCCCGTGGGGAGATGGGCGTGGCCTCAGCGGTAACGTCCATCACTCTTCTCTCATGCAGCTGCTTCAGACCTGCTGCTGCACTCGGCGTTGGTACAGGAGACTGCTTATATTGAGGACCGACCCCTGCACATGTTGTACTGTGCTGCTGAAGAGAACTGCCTGGCTAGTTCCGCCCGCTCGGCCAACTGGCCCTATGGCCACCGGCGTCTGCTCCGATTCTCTTCCCAGATCCACAACCTAGGAAGAGCCGACTTTAGGCCCAAGGCTGGGCGCCATTCTTGGGTGTGGCATGAGTGCCATGGGTGAGAGGGCGAAAGGGGGCCAAAGAGGCAGGCGAGGCTACAGGGGACATTGACAAGCCTGCTGGGATTTGGGAGAGAATCACAAGTCCCCTTTTCCCACAGGCATTACCACAGTATGGACATCTTCACTCACTATGACATCCTGACCCCCAACGGCACCAAGGTGGCCGAGGGCCACAAAGCCAGTTTCTGTCTAGAAGATACTGAGTGTCAGGAGGGTGAGTTGGGGCCAGAGTGGACTTAAACCCAAGCATAGTCATGCCCTTCATTGACATATAATAAATACTCCCCTCAGATGTCTCAAAGAGGTACGAGTGTGCCAACTTTGGAGAGCAGGGCATCACCGTGGGATGCTGGGATCTCTACAGACACGACATTGACTGTCAGTGGATTGACATCACAGATGTGAAACCAGGAAACTACATTCTTCAGGTGTCTGGCATCTGCCTGGGCTTTCAGATATTGTGGTTTGGGGTGGGTGACAAAGACACCTTTGAAATGCAGCAGTGTAGCTGGGTCATGCCAGCATTCTTTCTAACTCACAGGTGGTTATCAACCCAAATTTTGAGGTAGCAGAGAGTGACTTTACCAACAATGCAATGAAGTGCAATTGCAAATACGATGGTCATCGCATCTGGGTACACAACTGCCACATTGGTAAGTGACGGGAAGGGTCACTGAGGATAGGAGGACAAAGCTTTCATTCCCCAAGTGGTTTCTGCATCTCCCCACAATTCCCTATGTGTGGGATGTGTCCCTGCCTCTGCAGGGAGCCCCTCACAGTGCCTGTCTACTCTGCAGGTGATGCCTTCAGTGAAGAAGCCAACAGGAGGTTTGAGCGCTACCCTGGCCAGACCAGCAACCAGATTGTCTGAAATACCACCACCCTTTCAGCAAACCACCACTGGCCCCCCAATGGCAGGGGTCTGAGGCTGCCATTACCTCAGGAGCTTACCACAAGAACCCCTGATGTCAGCAGGCCCACTACACTCATCCACCTGTGCACTACGGATGACAAACAGTTGAGCAGAAGTTGGTGCCTCCCCTACTGGGTCAGCTGTCAGTACCTTTGGCCAAGCATGGAGAATCAGCCAACAGACAGAACACACCACACAGAACTGTCCCAGCAGAAAGGCAGCAGCAGCTCATTCCTTGAACAGGGAGGTCAGGAAGGTCAGCTCCCACAGCTCTCCTAAGTACCGCTTTACCTCTAGCCTTTTGGTGGGGGAAAAGATCCAGCCCCCATTTATGACTGAAACATGTTGCTAGGTATAATTTTATTTTATATAAAATGTGTTCTTCAGAGCCCAGGGTTGGTGCTGGTGGTTAGAGGGACCTGCCCTCTACAGGTCCATTGACTCCTCCACCCAGTGCACTCAGAACCTAGGCTAGGAAGGCGAGGAGGAAATCAGAGCAGAGGGTTCACACTCTTGCTAGTCCAGTCATTCGGTGACCTCAGGGGTCACATATAAGGTCAGTGTTTCTGATCCCCGCCGGATCCGCACTGCCAGCTGTGATTGGGTTCGAACAGCCTCATAAACATCTTCAGCATTTTGTACCATTTTCTCTCCAATGGCCAAAATCACATCACCAGGCCGAAGACCAGCCCTGTGGAGGATGAACATGGCAAGGAAGGAGTACACAGCTGCGTTCAAGGATACATGCACCCCATTCCACCCCACCTCACAGAGCAGGCTTTCCATCACCTGTGTGCAGGGGAGCCCAGGATAACTTTATGGATGAGGACACCATGCTGAACATCAGGGAAGCTTGGTTCTCGGAGCTGTAGTTCAACAAGGATGCTGAAAGGGCACAGACCACCCTGTTAGGTATACCCAGGCCCTCTCTCATCCTGACAGTTCACTTTTTTGGCCTTCTAGCGCTTAGGAAGTGGGAAAAACACATGAAAGATAGCTAATTCCAAATGATACAGTGTTAAACTACATGTCTGTCATTCTACTTTAAGGAAGGGGTAGAACTTAAGCTGAGCCTAAAAGGATGGGTCCTATTAACCATATGAAATAAGAAGGTATTAAGACATAGAAGTGAGCTGGGTGGTGGTGGGCTTTAATCCCAACACTCAGGAGACAGAGGCAGGCAGATCTCTGTGATTTCAAGTCCAGCCTGGTCTACAGAGCAAATTTCAAGACAGCTAAGGCTTCACAGAGAAACCCTATCCTGGGGGTGGCAGGGGGACAGGGGTGGGGAGGAGGGGGGGGGACAACACACAGGTCTGGAAAATCAAAGTAATCCAGAAGAAGCAACAAGGCAAGTCTTCAAGGTAATCAGAGAGAGTTGGAAATAGAAATAGCTCTTTTAATGCTAGATCAATGAAGTCTCTAAATCACAGCAGTAACATGACGCAATCAATCTAGTAAAAAGGTACAAGATGCAATAGGATGAAAAAGTTATGATGAGAGGGAACAGCTCTTGTGACAACAACTCACCGTAGATAGACAGACATGAAAACAAAACCCATAACAGAATCCACCTGTAAGGCACAGACACACTTGTGGTCCTACATATCATGATCCCTAATATACCTGGGAGTCAGAGTCAGCATCATCACTCCAATGTAGCGGCGCTGGGACCCACTGATTCCAAACCAGGAATCTGTAAAAAGAGGGCAAATGAGCCCACCCAGCTACATCCTTCTTTCCCTTACCTCCTGCCAGTAAAGCCCTCTCCAGCAAGTCCCAATGAACCGCCCCTCCCCTATGTCCCATCATAAGTAAGAAAGGCTCACTTTTCTTCTCCCCGCGGTGCAGAAACTCCCTAAGGCGATCAGAAGGGATGGCAAAGGAGATTCCAGCTGTCACCTTCATGGTGTTCACTCCAATCACCTCCCCATCCTGCAGGGACACAGCCCTCTGTCCCCTAGCCCACACAGATGGCAGAGTAGCAAAGATTTGGGGGCAGGGGTCTGATTGGATACGAGGAGATAAACAAGAAACTACAGAAACTTAACTAAAAGTCCTTGAATGTTAGAAACACCCAACCTTCCCACACTGACCTGGCGTATGGATTCTTAGAAGAGCATGGCACTCACCAGGTTAACTAGGGGGCCTCCAGAATTTCCAAACTGTGGGATAAGATGAAAGAAAACATCAAAGAGATCTGGAATTCTATGCCTCTGGGAATTCTCTCACTGTAGGCATAACCAGGGTATAGGGAAATTCTTCAGATTCTGTTCCCAGCCCATGAACTAGAGTGGCTGCATTTTGCAGTCCAACGTCTAATATAGGCCCAGCTACATTGGAGTTGGTGCACACACCAGACAGACAGCCATTCTCCCCAGCTCCCACCCAGCTCCAAACTTCTCTCATATCAGGACGCACATCAATAGCTGCATCGGTCTGAATGTATTCCACGTTGTTTTGAGGGAGTCCGAGGTCCCTGGCTGGACGCTGAGCAGAGCTGACAATACCAGATGTGATCGTGTTCTGCAGTGCAAAGGGACTTCCCATGGCAACAACAAACTCCCCTTGCCGGACATCAGCAGAGCGGCCGAGGGGCAGTGTGGGAAGAGGCTCCTTAAGGGAAACGAGTACGCCAAAACTGGTCATTTTAAGACGGGAGCAAGTAAACAGCTGCCATCAGATCCGGCCTACTCCATTCCCACCTTGGTCTGAATCCTCAACGTGGCAATGTCCGCTACAGGATCCACAGCTGTAACCACGGCCTCGTATGTGTCTCCACTAGGCAGCCGCACTCGCACTCGGCGCCGGTCAGCCACCACGTGGGCGTTGGTAACGATGAGCCCATCTGAAGCCACTACGAATCCTGAGCCGTTTGAGATGGGGACTTCGCGGCCTGAGAAAGGGTGCCTGGGATGGGGGAAAGCACCGGTTACACTTCTGCTTTCCACCCCATCCTGCTCACTTGCCTTAGGGCAGTTGGTTTCAACACCTCCCGGTCAACTTCACCATTACCGATCCAGGATTTCGATATAGACCACGGCTGGGGCTGTCTTCTCCACCACATCTGCGATGAAATTGTACTGGCTCCGGGGAGAGCTGGGCGGCGGAGCGGGGACAGCGGCCAGCACCGCGGGAGGACCCCGCCCCCAGCCCCACAACAGCAGCAACATTGCTCCCCCTGCGCCCACCGCCACCGCCAGCCATTCGCGCCGACGGGGGCCGGGGCTCCTGCGGGCCTCCTGGGCACTGGAGCCTGCAGTCCCCACGGCCAGCCGTGCCCAGAGATCTGGGGTCCCAGACGTCAGACATGCCCGTGATGCAAGGACCCCCACAGGCACCCGGGCCGGGAGAGGGTCGGGACTTCCTAACGTCAGCAGAGCCTGAAGGTCAGGGGTAAAAAGGGGGCCCTTCCCCCAGAAGATGCCCCCCAAAGCCCGCCAAGCCCGAAGGCTCCAGCCTGCACCCCGCCCCGCCTTCAGCGCAGCCATCAGCTCCGCCTCGGCTCTCTCCTTGCCCGCCCTACTCAGAGGCGGTGCCCTGAAGCCCAGCAAGCCGACTGGGAGAAGCGAGGCACGCCGGTATCTGTCCGGTGCATGCCGGGAATTGTAGTTCTTTCAGGACGCGTTGTCCGGGGCGAACACATACACGCAGACTTTACGCCTCCCGGGGGCCGCAAGGCATGCTGGGAGCGCTTGCCCTTCCGGGGCGCCTCTGGACCTCCGGTTCTGGCATCCCCCGCGGATGCCCAAAGACTCCGCCTTCCCAGGAGTCCCCGCGGCCCTGCGAAGATGGCGGCGACACCGGCCCTGCTTTCCTGAGGCGGCTGCGATGGAACCTCCTCCAGCTCCGGGGCCGGAGCGGCTCTTTGACTCGCACCGGTAAGCGCTGCGGAGGGAAGAGGCCGGTCAGCGCGTTCTCTCGGCTTCGGCGCCTGATCGCGTCGCCTCTCGCCGCAGGCTCCCGAGCGACGGCTTCCTGCTGCTCGCGCTGCTGCTCTACGCTCCGGTCGGCCTGTGTCTCCTGGTTCTGCGCCTCTTCCTAGGGCTCCACGTCTTCCTGGTCAGCTGTGCTCTGCCCGACAGCGTCCTCCGCAGGTGCGGACTGCGGTGCCCCGGGAGCATCGGGGCTGGGCCTGGGTCAAGACCGCACAGTCACTGCCGCCTGTGTCCCCAGGTTCGTGGTGCGGACCATGTGTGCAGTGCTGGGGCTCGTGGCCCGGCAGGAGGACTCCGGACTCCGGGATCACCGCGTCAGGGTCCTTATTTCCAACCATGTCACACCTTTTGACCACAACATAGTCAACCTGCTCACCACCTGTAGCACCGTGAGTGGGGGCGAGGCCGAGAGCGCCACCGGGTGGCTCCCCAGGCCCGAGCTCAGTGCTCACCTCTACCCATTAGGGTTCTCTTGGGGAACACCGATCTTTTCCCTCACCCCATAAGCACCACCCCACGTGTTACCTTTTTTCTTCTTTCCTGTTTGACATCCCCCCCCCCCCCGTTCTCTCCTTGCTCTCTCTCCTCCCTGCTCTCAGCCTCTACTCAATAGCCCCCCCAGCTTTGTGTGCTGGTCTCGGGGCTTCATGGAGATGGATAGGCGGGTGGAGTTGGTGGAGTCACTCAAGAAATTCTGTGCTTCCACAAGGCTTCCGCCCACACCTTTGCTGCTCTTCCCTGAGGAAGAGGCTACCAATGGCAGAGAGGGGCTGCTGCGTTTCAGGTGGGTAAGCACAGATCTCTGACTCCAGTTTAGTGGACTGTGTCAAGCTCCTGGGTGAACCTGCTCCAGTTCATTTCCTGTCTGTCCACTTTTAGTTCTGTCCCCTAAATTCTTAATTCCTTGATTATTTGCTCATGTAGTTGGACAGCTTCCTGTTTAAGTCAGGTTTGTGTTGTTGGCCGAGCTCTGCTGGACTCTGTCCGATCCTACTCTCTCTTTCTTAGTTCGTGGCCATTTTCTATCCAGGACGTAGTACAACCTCTTACGCTGCAAGTTCAAAGACCGCTGGTCTCTGTGGTGAGTACATGCTGGACAGGAAATCTCTGGGGTTTGGAGGGGAAGTTTTCCCACCTCTGGCCGTTGCTTAGACCTCACTTCATGCCCTCCCCTCAGACGGTGTCAGATGCTTCCTGGGTCTCAGAACTGCTGTGGTCACTTTTCGTCCCTTTCACGGTGTATCAAGTAAGGTACTAACTGTCCTCAGTTTTGGTGGCTGGGAAGATGCTCATTTCAAGGTCAAAGAAGTAGTGACCTCTGCCCTGTCTGTCTGTGGATTTGTTAATGTCAGAGTTCCACCACAGAGGCAACACTTCCCCCTTCACCTCCCCCTCTCATCACCATTGTCCCAAGATAGCTGGGGAAGGGATGACACCCTTAGCCCTGGTG